GGTTGGTTGTGTGAGTATATGTGTCGGAGTTATGAAATAAGTCATGGATGTAGAGTGGGCAGGTCAGCAAACACCGGAGCACATTCGGCAGACCTGCCCACTCTACCTACAACTTCGAAAAGAAACCTGGCCTCAAGAGCAAAGTGTGCAGAGCAATATATAGTTAACCATGAAGGACCTGCTACTGACATGCGAGTTCATAGAGGCAATCCACCTGATGGTCTGATCTAAACTAAGCATTCGAAACCAAACGCAAAAAAAAAAAAAAAAAAGAATGCCAACTAGGTAAAGTCATGGGGAGTAAAGGCGGCTGACGCGGTGCGGACCACATCACCCACCAAGTGCCGACTGGTCTATAAACTATAGGTCTAGCCCTATATGCCCAATGCGCCTGGAGGCGTGGAAAGCGTCTTTTACCTTTTTTTTTAAACTTTCTTTACACCAGCAGGACGTGGCCCGATGGTTGAAAAACACTTTCCTTCTTCGCGTTCACCGGCTGTTAACTCCAGCGGAAAGTTCTGGTTGTTTGTCCACCTCAAGACTGTATGTAGTCTTGTTCCAGAACCTGAGTGTTGCGTGCACATCCGTTTAACAGATTTAGCTTAATTGTATTCAGACTGTTGGTTCCTTGCCTCTCAGGCAGAATCACGGCGATCTCGAAGGAAGCCTCCATTAGTCGACTATTACGACATGCTTGTTAGAGAGGAGGTGGGTCTATTCTTGTCTTCCCCCCACAATGGGGCCCCGGACCCCACACGAGGGTGAACAACATTGCTTTACAGGACTATCCCTCTGTTTCCAGCAACGGAGGTACTAATCCTACATTTCAGTCAGCGCACCCGGGAAGGGAATTCCCAAATGGAACCTGACAGAAACAAGCACTGACCCAGAAAACCAAGCTTTCTTTAGTTAGATCTGCCAGCTGGTCTCGCTTGATCAATTATAGTACACATACATATTAAACTAGTTGTGCTCTTTGCACTAGAGGAAATCTCCTTTTTTCCACTCCATACCTGTCTATCTCGGATTTTATGACCCAGTTCTATGTGATGAGGACAGTGGCACTCAAACTTCCTACTTCCGAGACCCTTTAATACAGTTCCCTCCTTGTTGTGGCTATCCACAAACAATTATTCTCCTGTATAACTTCAATGAATATGTGTTTTCCGGTGGTCTTAGGCGACCCCTGTGAAAGAGTCGTTCGACCCAAAAAAGGGCGAATCTTAGAATGTGAGTGAACAGATTAAGAAGAATTTGGGGAAAGCAAGAATAGACCAACTGCCTCCCCAAAAGCATGTCGTAAGAGTCGACTAATTGGGGAGCTTCTTTTCAAGTCGGAGTGCATCTGCCGGAGAGGCAAGGAACCAACAGTCTGTATTCAAGAGAATGAGATCTGTAAAACTGATGCACACGCAACACTCAGGTTCTGGAGCAGGACTGCAGTTCAACCAGAACTTTCCGCCAGAGTGTACAGCTGGTGAACGCGAAGAAGAAGAAGAAGATGTGGTTTCTGAGACGAATGTTAAAATACCTTGGACGGCCAGAGTAACGAACGATTGCTTGGAAGAAGCTTATGAAAATTAAAGTGTTAAAATGAAAATTGTGAGGTCATCTATCTTTCCCGATCCATCTCTATTTACAACGATAAGAAAGAGGCTGTTTTTTGGCCACATAACGAGAAGAGAGACACTGGAGAACATCGTGACAACTGGCAAGATCGGTGGAAAAGGGGGTAGAGGCAGACCAAGAGAGATGGTGCTGGATGGGCTGAAAGGATGGCATGGAGGGATATCATCAAGAAAGTTGTTCCAAGCAACCAAGGATAGTGATCTATGTAGACACATGAGCGCCTATGCCAGTTGACATGGCACATGATGATGATTATGATGATATAACCAGGGGTTTTCTAGACAATTATGTGGGTATACTATTTACATACATTATCGACCGCTTAAAGCGAACTCGGATGCGGCGAATTTCTGTTGTAAAGAACAATTAGTTTATCACCAGCAATTTTTCTTGCTTAAGGAACTCTTATCCAGATAAAAGGGATTTTTGTAAGAAGAATCAATCTTGTATATAGTGATACTGGAAGAGTAGTACTAAATGACTCAACAAGAATCATTCGGATGCGAATCCAACAAGACAAATGCCAGAAACCATATTTTCAAACTGTTAAATTAGGGCACTTTATGACATTACAATTATCTATACACTACAATACACTTACCCCTGTGATAATAACAAGTACTCCAGAGAAAAACCATGACGTATTGAAACTACATCAAACGACATACAAGCACTTATAAAACCTCGGTACAAACAAATCTTCAGAATGTCCGCAAATCGTACCACTACAACATACACAACTGATCAGTCTGGTCAGCACATACAAGCAGTGTCGTCGCGAATGCAAAGTTTAAAAACACTAACATTCTGACAAACGTTTTCCCAAAGCCACGTCAAGTTATTATTAGCTGACTCGGTGAGGTCATAGACTGACAAACAGCGACTACCGACCCGCACCCCGTCCCTGCGGGGATGTCGCTGGCAAAACACGGTCCGGGATCTAGATCACAGCAGGCGTAGTAGGGAAGACGAGGTGCAGGGTTCTACAGGGGTTCTCAAACTGTGGGTATAGTTCAGATCACAACAGGCGGTGGTTGTACGGAAGACGAGGTGCACGATTCTACAGGAGTTCTCAAACTGTGGGTAGGTGTTCAGAATATTGATTACTGGTTCAAGAATCAACATCATAGCAGACCCGGACATACCCACAGATGCTCCGTCTCCCGCAGCAAATGTCTTAAGTTACGCTGCCTGCCCAGTAGCGAACTGGTAGGAAACACGTAATTCACAGAAACAGAGTAAGAAACAGAGTAAGAAACAGAGTAAGAAACAGAGTCACAGAAACAGAGTAAGAAACAGAAACTTTCAGCTAGTAGAGACATAAAGTAATCCACAAAACAGACAGGGCTATTGGAAACATATTGATCATTGATCAGTAGCCACAGAAAGAAGTAAAAAAGAAGAAGGACACGCTAGACAACATAACCATCGAAATCTATAGTTACCGTGACGGGAATCAAACCTGTCACTTCCAGACGACGAATGCGCCTCGCTATGGAAAAAAGTGTACTGAGCGCGTGACCAACTAGGCCTATTTTTAGGGTCGCTTAAATACACAGGTCGCACTTCTCTCATATGTGCTTTTTTTATGCCGGATGTACAGTCAATTCCACAGTCAAAAAATATTATAAATGTTTTTAAATCCTGGGCGAGGTCCATGCAGTTAAATCTAGTCTGTGTGTGTGTGTGCGCGCGCGCGAGCAGGTGTGTGTGTGTGTGTGTGTGTGTGTGTGCGCGCGTGTGTGTGTGTGTGTGTGTGTGTGTGTGTGTGTGTGTTGTTCGTTCTTTCACCCTCTCCAGTCTGAAAGCAGTGAAGGTAACTTGTTAATAAGTTTCCAAAATGATTACAAAGAAAATGCAAAGCGTTGCGCTGTCACCCTGCAATATTGCTAAAGATAAGTGCACTGTTAAAAAAAAAAACGGCGCCGTGAACCGCCAAAAACTGGGTAGCAGGGTACAGCTAGTCGGAAATCTTTTCGGGATTTCCCCATAGGGGTGGCTGTCTGATGTTATGAAGTTCACGGGGGGAATTCCCATAAGACTTGATGTATTTTGTAGGTAAACAAAGAGAGCCATATAAACATTATGTACATATTCTACCTCGCAGTTTTCTTCTTCCCATTCTTCTTGTTTTGCTGATGTCTATAATGCTAATGTAAGTACAGCTCTTGCCAAAGCTGCTTATATTAATACTGTTACTACTACCACCACTACTACTATAACTGTAACTTCATTATCATCATCATCATCATCAACTACAACAACACCAAGAACAACAAAAACAACAACTACTACTGCATCACCTGCATCACCGTCCATCACCAGCAAAAACAACAAAATCAACACAATTGGTTATTCGCCCGATACTGGACACTTATCCTTGTTCCAGAACCTGAGTGTTGCGTGTACATCATTTCCCATACTTGGCTTATTTGTACGCAGACTGTTGGTTCCCTGCCTCTTAGGAAGATGCACTCAGACTTCAAATGATGCCTCCTACGACATACTTGTAAGGGAAGCAGTGGGTCTATTCTTGTTTTTGTACTTTCCTTTTAGTTCACTTATCTCGAGGACCTCGCGATTTCTTGGGAAGTTCTCGGTAAAGTACAACCTACCTCCTCCCCAATTAGGGTCTTTCCCGGGAACTCTAACTCTCCGCGAACTCTCGGAGTCCCCTTGATGGGGTGAACTAAAATAAAAGCACGCTCTAATATACTTGACTCTCGTGACGCCATTTGTGGTCGGCTAAAATAAAAACACCACCCTGGTTTTCCGTACAATAAGGCCCCGAAACCCAGACGGGGGAAAAGATGCGGATCCGAACTCAAGGCCGTCGGGCTGCAGGCCAGCAGTTAGCCACTATGCTGCCGCAGCTCCTACCAGGCTATGCCTCGCTTCAGTTCGCCACTCCTACCCAAGTGGCAACACTTCGTGCAGTTTCCCATGTCTGCATCATCGCCTGTCACTGTGCCATACAAACTCCGAACTTTCCGGCCAGGGCTTGGCTCAGTAAGGTCGCCGAGTGAGAGGTTGCAAGTTCAAGGCAGCGTTGTAATATTCCTACACCTTCATACATAAGCACACACACACACACTTCGTTTCTATTATACGCATGTTTATCTGTCGTTTGACCCACCTATATTGTCCACCTACCCATTAAGTCTATCTGCTCGTACATTTTCGTCTATCCGCTCGCACATTGTCGTTTATCTGCTCTGTGAATCTCTGCTTCTCTGTTTGTGTTACACTTTCTCTATCCCCACCCCACCCCATCAAAAGATTAAAACAAACTTCTGACAGCTCACTGGCCGACCCACCAGCCCCTATCCAATTCACATCATCTAATGACTCAGGGGCCTCTTCGTGTGGCC